CCCCATAAACACAGCGGGGGGCTCCAGGTGGAGCCCCATAAACACAGCAGGGGGCTCCAGCCCATCTCCAGCCCCGAGGGCACCCAACTGAGGAGCCAAATTGCGGTCCGGCTGCAGCACCTGAGCCCTGAGTCCCGGGCTGTGGGCTGGATGAGCGCATTCTGGTAGAATGCGGTGAAACAGGTTCTGGGACATCGCTCCTGTTTCTCCCCTCTCAAGTTTGTCGAGTTGGTGACTCACCGGGTTTTGATTTTATTTACTTTTCATTCCCCAACTGCCTGTGTCATTCGTCCTCCAACACCCAGATGGAATAGAGCTGGGGGGAGGATGTGGGGGGAGGGGGTTCAGCGGGACTGACCCACAGCTCCCGCTTGCTACAGTGGGCCGAGCAGCCCCCCGGCACGGGGACAGCGGGGAAACGGAACTCAGTGAGCAGCAGAAGGCACTGAAAGCTGTGGGGTGTTCGGGGAGACCCCCAGAACGGCCCTGGATAGGATTCCCCTCGGTGGGGGTGCGTGGTGGTGGGGCAGCCCGGCCCGGCAGGAGGGGCTGAGTCACGGTGGGGAGGGGTCAACCCCGGCTGGTGCTGCTTGGAGGGGGGGGGGAGTGGGGTTGTTGGCTGCCCCCTGCCCCGATCCTGTTGCGAGCAACTCCGGTGCTGCCCCATGCGGAGTCCCATCCCATCTCCATCCTCAACCCCATTCCTGTGCCCGATCCCAATCTCATCCCCATTCCCATCCCCATCCCAACTCAACCCCATCCCCATCACCACCCCCAACCCCAATCCCACCCCCAACCCCATCCCCAACCCCAACCCAATTCAACCCCATCCCCATCTCCACCCCCATCCCCAACCCAACTCAACCCCATTCCCAACTCCATTCCCGTGCCCAACTCCCACCCCATCCCGACCCATCCCAGTGCCCAAACTCCAACCTCAACCCCTTCCCCAACCCCGTCCCCGTGCCCCACACACCCTTGAAGAGGAAGTCGTACTCCTCATCCTTGCCCCGCATCCTGCGCAGTGCCGCGGCCGCACTGGGAACAGCGGGGATTTCCGCCCCGCTCCGCCCCGGGGGGCAGCCCCGCGCTCCCATTGGTCCCGCAACTCTCCTTCCTTCGCAGCCATTGGCTGTCGGTGCTGCCCGTCACCGCCCAGGTGCTCCGCTGGGGGCAGGTGTGAGGGGGGAGCTGCGAGGTGGGAATGGGACGAGATGGAGAGGGGAGGAATGGGATGGGAACAGGGATTGGATTGGGGATGGGATGCGATTAGATGGAGTGGAACGGCGTGGAAGGGAGTGGGATGGGAACAGGGATTAAAATGGGGAGGGGGGGACAGGAACAGGAATTGGAATAGGGATGGGATGGGAATAAAGGTGGGGAAGGGGATGGGATCAGATGGAGTGGAATGGAGTCAGAAGGAATGGGATGGGAACAGGGACTGGAATGGGGATAAGAATAGAGATGGGACGGGAATACAGGTGGGATCGGAGATAGGATTGGGATGGCAATAGGGATGGAATGGGATGGAATGGGGCGGAATAGGGATACGGATGGGATGGGAATACAGACAGGCTGCATGGGGGAAGGAACGCACGTGGGGCTGGGCTGTGAGCCAGGCGGGGCACCGGGGACGAGGCCACGAGCAGTCAGCGATCCCAGCCCAGCACAGCTGCCTTTCACAGTCCTTTAATGGCACACCGAGATGGGGACAGAGGCGCGCAGGGTGGGCACAGCTGCTTCCCCCCTTAGGGTTCTTTCTTAGGGCCCCGTCGGGCTCGGGATGCAGCGACCCCCGAGCGGCTCCCAGCGGGGCTGGAGAACGGTGGGGACGGGCGCATCCGTGGTGGGCGGCACAGAGACGGAGCGCGACGGCACCGGGGCAGCAACGCCACAACGGCAGCGGCTCCCGCAGCCGCGCAGCCCGGCGGAGAAGCGGCGGCGGCACTCAGCGCATCTGCGCCGCGGGGACGGACCGACACCGAGCGGAGCTGCGGCGACGCCTCGCGCTGCTCACGGCGGAGCACGGCCCGCTCCGGGCTGCCGCCGCGCCGGGACAACGGGCGGCACGGCGGGTCGGTCGCCACCGAGCTGTGCCGGCGGCCGCGAGCCTCGGGACGAGCTCAGATGGCCACGCAGCACGGGCGCTTTTCCGCCTGCGCTGGGGCAGCGCCGTCGGGGCTCTCGCTGCCGAGTGACACCGTGCTGCTTTGGCTGCTCCTCTGCTTCTGCTTCTGCACTTTGCTGAAGATCTCTGCGGAAACACAAAGCGGGGCCGCGTCTGGCTGGGGCGCCGGCACGGCTCGGCGCTCGGCAGGCGCAGCGCTGCAACTTCCCCTGCTTCCCTCGGCTTCTCTCTGGCCCCGCGAGGATGAGGGCTGGAAGCTCGTGGGGATGGCACAGCACGGCACGGCACAGCGCGGCACAGCTTAACAGAGCTCAGTACAGAACATCGAAGCGTGCCATGGCATAGCACAGCATGGCACAGCTTGGCACAGGAGGGCACAGCAGGGCACAGCACAGCATGGTACGGCACAGCATGGCACAGCAGGGCATGGCACAGCACGGCACGGTACAGCATGGTATGGCAC